CTTTTATCTGCTGCTGTATAGAACTGACTGCATCCTGGACTGGAGAGACAGCTCAACTGAGGACCCAGGTCCCACGGGATCTAACGCTGTCTTCTGACAGTCTTAGGTACCAGCTATGCACATGGCGCATGCGCACATGCATACATGCAGACAAACCACTCATACACATGAAACAAAACCAATAAAACAAACAGGAAACTGCTCCCTCTTCGGGGACCCCTTACACCATACCAAAGTCTACACCCCTGAAGGTTCTTCACGTAGGCCGTCATAGACACCGTTCTCAGAGCAAGGAAGGAGAAACTGGACCGCTAAGCGACAGTTTTCACACATTAGACTATTAGGTTTGGTGAAGTCCATGTCCAGCTCTCCTGGGGGACACGGTAGGCTTTTCCTGCGTGTCTATTGGGATAGCATGGGATTCATCTACCAGCACAGGAAAACATCTCCAAAAACATCTTCCATCTGGTTTCCAGCTCCCACTCCCCCACTCATGGATAAAATCCCTGCCAACTGATCTCCCTTGACTCCCTCCAACCCCACACAGACACTTCTTTTCAGTCCTGTATGGTAATCTAACATGCAATTTGGAGTGAGAATTTTTAATTTTCACTGTTTTAAATGAAACACTCCATCCTAACACTTATGTTCAGAGAATATTCCAGCTAATCTTGGTGGCACACACCTCTAATTCCACCACTTGAGAGGCAGAGACAGGTGGAACTCTATGAGTTTGAAGTCATTCTGGTCCACAGAGTGAGTTCCAAGTCAGCCAAGGCTACACAGTGAGACCTGGTCTCAAAAACAAATTTAATTTTAATTTAAAATGTGTTGTAGTTCAGCCCCAAATACAAATGTATTCCAGGTGTATAATACTCCTTATCTTAATAAACATTATAGTCAGTTATAACCCTAAGGTAATACAAGGGCAAGTATAAAAATTCAATAATGTAAAATAAAGATAACAGAATGGCCATGCCCACACAGTACCCTGGTGCCGCTGCAGCTAGTGGGTCAGTCAATACCAAAGGAATGATGTGGAGGCTGCATTATCTGCAGAAGTTATTCACTTTTTACCACACGGCCTTTGTTTTCCTGCCTGCTCCTCTTCTTAGCGCCAGTCCCTCCTGGCTCCTTCTTAGAAACCGCCTCGTCACTTCACGGGCTCGCTTCCACACGCGTCAAGGCCAGAGTAAACTGTCCAAGCACAATGCGACAGCCTGTTTCTTTTGAAGCAAATAAAATAGGTCCATCGTCTTCAATCTTTTTTTTTTTTTTTTTAATTTTGTTTGAAAAGTGACAGGGAAAGAATAAGGCTGAAGAGAGGAGCCGAAGACACGCGTTCTCCGGCAGACTGAGCAGCAGCAAGGCGCTAACAATACACTTCCTGACAGGGAAGCAGGGAGTTCTTTTGTTTACTAAAATACCTCAATCAATTTTTCTTTTAATGACTTTCATCCCGCTGCCGACAGGGTGCTGCTGAAGGACATGCTCGACCTGAATCTTATCTTTCTTCGTGTTCTTTATTGTTCAGAACAAGCACACACCGCAGTCATGTGATATTCCTTGTTAGCTGTAACTGAAGCCTAACGGATATAATTAATGGATTATTCCAACCCTCTCTTTAGCTCCACGGCTCCTTTTCTTCTGAAAGAGATGAATGCTAATAAGGGCTTTATCAGATTCTAAATACAGTAGAGACATATTAGGAGAACGAAAACCCCCTTGTGACTTACCATGTGGCTCCTTGTAGTAATGAAGCAAACGACCTTCTAGGCAGAGAGCGCTAGATTTCAGCTCTTCCCCCTTCGCTAGTTGCTGGAGATGAGGAGTCTGGTTCCAACATCTCGCCAAGCCCCTTTCTCCCTGTGCGTGACTGGCAAATAATTTACCCTCAGACTTGTGCCATCTGCAAAATTACCTCATCAAGCAACTGTCCAGCGAGATAATTTAAGTCAGCCATGCTTCTTGAAACCTTACCCTTTGCTACTACACTGTGTTCCTTGCATTTATTCCTAAAGAGTTAGGGAGAAACCAGGGGCCATAGTTGGTAGAGTTCTAGCCTGGCTTGCAATGAGGCCTTGAGTTCAGTCCTCATTATGCAAACAGAACACAGTACTACACACCTTTAACCCAGATGGCATAGGAAAGGAGTAGAATTTCCAGGCTACCTTCAGCTATATTGCCAGTTTGAGGCCTGGGTTACATGAGAATCTGCTCCAAAAAGAAAATAATTAGAATTTATGGTACAATTTTGGGCCATTTTCATTTTATTTTGTTACTAGTTTCTAGGGTATCGGTGATTAATGAGAATCACTATTAGAATAAGAGAAAATGTTATTTTAAAAGAGAACAACAAAAAAGAAAAACTAATATTAACTAAAATACATTTGGGCTCTTTCTTACATGTTCCAAATATTCACACATTTATCTGTTTTAAAAAATTGGTATGTAGAGCTCACCGTGGTTCATTGATGAAACCTAATCAGGAAGCGGAGTGTAATGCTGCATTGGGTTTTAATAACATTGTTGGAACATTTATATGTTGGAAGAACATATGTTCAAAAAAATAATTTTAAAGACAAATCATATGCTATGCTGGCTCATGTAAGTCAGTGGTTCTCAACCTTCCATAATGCTACAGCCCTTTATTATAGTTCCTCATGGTGTGATGACCCCCAACCATAAACTTATTTTTGTTGCTACTTCATGACTATAATTTTGCTACTGAATCCTAATATAAATGTCTGTGCTTCCCAGTGGTCCTAGGCGACTTCTGTGAGTCATTTGGCCCCAAAGGTTGAGGAGCACTGGTGGAAGTCAACAGTCTCAAAGTGTAGCGGACTGTTATCAGGAAATCCCAGTTTCATCCACCCAACATTTATTGGGCTGAAGGCATTAGAGACTAAGGATGGATGAGCTTAGGGCACAGTGGAGTCATGGGTGTGTAAACAAGACTGGCCTGTGGACAAATGCGCTCAAGTGTCAGGAGGAGCGTTCAGAAGAAAGGGCCAGTGCTCTTTCTGACTGAGACTAGAGTCCTGCGTTTGTGCTAAGGAGCTTCGGCACCAGGACAGCCTGAGTCCGGGAGCGGTTTACTGAGCCTATGTCCCTGTTTCCTGAGCTGGAAAGTAGAACTTGGAATTTCTGTTTTATATTTGTATTTGGGGGTTTTGAGTCATGCTCTCACGCAGCCCAGGCTGGCCTTGAACTCTGCCCTCGTTTTTCTTCCTGTTTCTGTGTTAACATGCCCTGAGGTGCTGGCTATTTTTATGCCAACTTGACACAAGCTATCCTCATCTGAGAGAAGGGATCCTCAATTGAGATATTACCTCCATAAGATTGGTCTGTAGGCAAGCCTGTAGGACATTTTCTTAATTAGTGATTTAGGATAGCCCAACCAATGTTGGGTGGGGCCATCTCTGGGCGGGTGGTCCTGGGTTCTATAAGTAAGCAGATGGAGCAAACTGTGAAGAGCAAGCCAGTAAGCAGCGCTCCTCCAAGGCCTCTGTGTCAGTTCCTGCCTCTATGCCCCTGTCTTGCTTGAGTTCCTTCCCTACCTGCTTTCCACGATGAAGTGTGATATGGAACTGTGAATGCAGTAAGCCCTTTCTTCTCCAAGTTGCTTCTGGTCATAGTGTTTCATCACAGCAACAGTAATGCTAATTAAGACAGAGATTGGAGCCAGGAGTGGGGTATTGTGGTGATAGACCCCAATGGAGGCCAGGGCATTATAGACTGATTTTAAAACTTTGGGCTAGAAAAGGCATTGAGCGTTCATAGCTTGGTGAGAGTTCCGTGGGAGCTTGAAAGATAAGCGGTGAGAGAAATACAGTTGATGGAGTCTCGGCACGTGACATCCCAGAGGGGAGGTTTGAGAGTCACATAATGACTCAGTTGGGGCCATTACATACCTGTGGTTCTTCTTAGCTGGAGCGGAAGAATTGACTGTGATCAGTAAGATATATCAGAAAAGTGAAACCTTTGTTTTGCTGGGGCAATGAGGACCCATTAGTTACTGATGTGTGCACGTGTGTGTGTGTGTGTGTGTGTGTGTGTGTGTGTGTGTGTGAGTGATATGTACATGTTCAGGTGGGCATGCAAACTTGTGAGTAGGCATGTACATAGCCTTGTCTGGTCCGGGAATTGGGTATCTTCTTCCATCACTCTCCACTTAGTTTTTGAAACAGGATTTCTTACAGTTTATTGTTTCTACAAGTCTGGCTGCAAACAAGCTCCATGAATTCCACCCAGCTCCCCAATCCAAGTGTTGGGGTTACAGGCACACACTGCTGCACTGGCCTTCACATAGTGCTGGGGATTCACACTCAGGTCTGCAAGCTTACACAGCAGACACTTTGCCTACTGAGTCATCTCTCGTCCCTAGCTACTGGCTCTTTTAACTTCTTGTGTAGTCTCCCTGATCCTTCCCTGCTATTGATGCTCTTACAATTGAATCCTGTCTTGTGCTTCTCCTTCTATTCCACTCTCTTCGTGACTATTAAACTATCTAAGTGCCCAGTTTGCAGATAGGACATTTAGCATTTGACCTGGGTGTGCATAATAAAGCAAATTTGGCTCAGAACTTCCCCTTACTTATAATTTCTCCTCAGATGTTACTGATGTAAATGCTGGTTGTAGCGGGAAGCAGATAGAGAAGCCTGTTAAATTAGGGTTTTTATAATTAACCTGCTTGAGCTCTCGCTCTAATTTAGAGGCACACAGGAAGTTCATACATTTCTTTTTTGGGCTGTAATTTTTTCCAGTTTCTGTAAATCTTACACATTAACCTTGAAGCCATGTGATTTTTTTTTCCCCTGAAACTCTTCAAATTCTTTAAATAAACCTGGGGGTTGGATGGGACTGGCTTTTTCAGCCTCACAAATTCAGCATTTGAAACCCACTCTCCTTTCTTTGTTTAAGATACCGTCACTGGATCCATTCAAAGGGAAAATGCACGCAATCATCTGGCAATCCACTCAGGACGAAGGCGAGTTATATATATGAGAAGCCATCTTCTTGTTATTTATTAAAACACATGTGAAATTAATGTTTTAATCCATTCACTGTTTAATTAAAATATTTTTTATGGCGCTCCTGGTATGCGAAAGGCAAGCTTTCATGTGAATTTATTCTTTTCCTTTGACGTTAATATGGTCCAGGCCTTTAAAATTTCTCTGCAGACTGCTGGGCTCAGACGAGCCCTGGGCCTGAAAGGGCAGCCACCACGAGGGTGGGAACAGCACAAGGAAGCTGGACCATGCTTGGCACTGCTGACATTTGCAGCCAAATGATGCTTGGTTGTAGGGACAGTCCTCTGCTTTGAGGAGAGTTTAACGGCATTCCCAGTCCTACCAACTGGGCGCTGGCAGCACTTCATCCTTCCGTTCCTCAGGTGTGACATGGCTGATGGGAGTCAAGCACACACTTGCTGAAGCCCCACCCAGCTACAGTGATTCTCAACGTGCCAATTTCTGCACAAAGTGTATTCCTGGGCCAGTGAGGGGGTTCAGTGGGTAAAGATGCTGTTAAACCTGATAGCCTGAGCTCAATTTCTGGGATCACATGTGGACAGCAAAAACCAACTCTTCAGACCTCCACCTGCACGGTGTGGTGAGTACTAAACCACACACGCACATATACATGCACACACACAGGCACACACACATACATGCACACACACACACACACACACCACCACCACCAGCAGCAGCAGCAACAACAACAAATATAGTCCGAAATGTTTCTAAAAATGCATTCCTTTTGCTTCCTGTAGATGATAATACCCCCGCATAATCTGTGCAGTGAGACTCCACATCAAACAAATTCCATTTCTGTTTCCGCCACCAGAAATAATAATGTCAGGCGCTCTCTTCCCAAAATAAAGAGTGGAGAAGTAGTTTTTGACCCAGACTTAGCGTTAGCATTGAGTTTTCCTGAGCAGGTGTAAATCTGCAGGAGTGGCCTTTGTGCTAGAGCAGTGTCCCTTGTCTTCTGAGGCTGTTTTAGTGGTGTGGTGACGGAGATACTGGTGCTCAGTCCTGGACACTGGGACATCACATCAGGTGTTTCCAGACTGCCAGCTTCTCACTGCAGAAAGAGCAGGGTACACCCATTGTTCTGTTTATAAGGTACCAACCGCATTCAGAAGCTCTCCATCCTCACGACCGGCCGCACCTCCTAACACGATCTCTCTGAGAATAAATATTATGATATTAGAATAGGGAGATAGGATACAGATATCGAGTTCACAGTGTCTTTCATGACTAACACAAAGTGGTGCAAAGGAGCCGCCACATGAACCAGGAACAAAGGAACATGGAACTGCACAAGTCCACGTGTTTCACAGTTAGCAGAACTGTGAAAAGGAACGCCAGCCCTCACACTGCTCTGTATGAGGTATCTAGCAATCTGATTAAATTTCAGGTCTCTAGATCCTACCAGTAGAGAGTTTCACTTAGGAGATCTGGGGAAGGCATAAGTTTTCATTCTTTTAAGATGTATCCAAATGATCCTCCGCAAGTGGGCTAACATTTGAACATATCTACCTGGGTTTGAGGATGTTGTTTTGTGGTAGAATGTGGCTCTAAGATGTATCTCCAGTACTGGAAAAAAACAAAACAAACAAAACCTCTCTTGAAGATAAAGAATGGCTACTGGGCCTTGACATTAACACAGTTGGAGGCATTACAGAGTCACAAAAGGGTAAGACTTAAGAAGTTACGAGGGCACTGACAGCCTTAGTCACACCAGAAGGGCAGAGTCTCTGGAAGGACGATATCCATTTAAGAGTGAAGAGTGAGCACAGCCTTGCCCAGCGATCCACTGTGTCTTCCCCGAGACAGCATATCTCCTCTGTGAGAACGAGTACCTAGTGTCACCTTAGCCTAAAGTCACCAGACATTCAAAATATTTAACTAGCTCCTTCTGCATTCCCTTGGGGGAATGTCCTGGGGCAACTCTCCTCACAATAAATTAATAGCTAGTCCAATGATATGTATATATGTATGTATATATATGACTGTGGACTTGGATGACATGAATCCTTCCCAGAATCTAGGTCTATTTATTCAACATGCTGACAAAGCTAGGTGGCCCAGTCTAGAATCATAATGGTGAAAAGTTAATAACTATAAAACTACGGGTTTGTTGGTAAGATTTTAGCAGAGAGTCTAGAAGGGGGAGGTAGTACCTACATTTGTGTCCTTGACCAGTCTTCACGAGTCAGACACCTGTGCTCACATGCCCACTGCAAGTGGTAGGACAGCGGGCAAGGTGCTGCTGGGTCTTAGGTCAGGGTCGATCACATTGCTCACTCAAAGCTTCAAACCGTTAATGTGGTCTCATCAACCCTTTATGTGTGTGTAGCCCCTGTGCAGAGCAGCAATAGCCTTCAGCACGCAATTCCAGCCGACTTTTACAGCTACATCGTGAGCTAAGTATAAAAGATACTGTCCTCTTTTATATATGAAGAAACACTCAACTGCTTGCCTACGGTTAAACAGCTGGTACACAGCAGAGCAGAGACATATGGTAACTACATTTGTTGAATGTCAACCTGGAGGCCAGAGACATTAATGTCTTGTCTAGTCTTGAAAGCCATCTTATGAAGGAGACCTTATTGGCTTACTTTGCGCGTGCATATGTGTATAGATGTAGAGGTCACAGGTCAACCGTGTGTGTTATTCCTCAGGAGTCTGGATGATGGTTCTCAGCCTAAGTATGGATTGGCATTATAAAGAAATTTAGTTGTCATGAAAGAAAACGTTAGATGAAATTTTTTAGATACTTCTCATTGGCATTATTACTGAAATTCTAGTCAAATTTTGTTGTCAATTGTCCACGTGGTGATAAAAAAATATATGAATGAGTTGTTAACCTAGATTCACAAATCATGAACTACATGATTTTCAAATTTCAGCCTCGCTTCAAGAAAATTGACTTCTTGCTCATCTGACACATGTATTTTGAAGCAGAGAATCCAAGCAATACTTAACCATATCGCTAATTATAGTATTCAGAAGGCTTCTTGCCATGAGGCTCTCGGATAACTACAGTCATGTGATCTTTTTTCTCAGGGTGGGCTCAAGATGGAGGTAGAACTGCCAACTCCATCTGAGAGATCACAAGCCTGTGGTTCTGCACAGACCTTAGGCATACTCGTGAAGGTAATTGGTGATCTTAACAGCAGCAAGGAATCCTAGCTCAGGATAGAACCACACAGACACGACCACTGTTCATCAGATCCAAGCACTCTGTGCCCAAGGGTCAGGACAACTGTCTGCTAACAGCTTAGGTAAACGTGGGCACACAGGATTTCGCTTACTCATTCCTTCTCGTTCCTAGTTACAAGGAAAATTATGAGTCAGCATTTATTTCCTATGGTTTACCTTGTCTGACCTAGAGATTCTTCTATAGCTCCTGAAAAAAAAATGATGTTTTATTGAAATAGTTTTGGTTCAGTGTATCATATCTGCACACTAACAATTAGAAGGCAATTCATCTTAAAATAATAAGGGCCCTGTGAGTGCTTGCCCAATTAAAAACTAAAATTTAATTATGTTCAATCACAACCTATGATTGGAGGACACTCTTTGGTCCAGCTTCACTCTTTCTCTGTGCCTTCCTTTCAAAGCCAAGCAGTCGCAGTGTGTGTGTGGACATCAGCTCCCTGGCTCTCAAACGCTCATTTCACGGACGACTGAAGACAGCAAGGCTCACTGTATTTCCGGTGCTCTACCCTCTCCGAGTGATGAGTGGCTTGTCATCTCTACTGTGACTAGAAAGTTGGAATAGCATTTAGGAATTCCAAAGTCCGGATCGCCAGGAAGCCCAGATCCTACTCACTAGAAGCCTGTGACTATCTTTGAATCTCCAGCAAGAGTGGAGGCACATCTTTAGGAGAAACGAGTCTGAATTTGGAGAAAAGAGGCTGAATTCTCAGGTTTTGGTGAAAACCTCTTCTCACCTACTGATCCTGATGGATTTAGGCTCTTGTCACATCTAATGTGTGCTGTGTGGTCAAGACATCACCTACACTAAGACAAGTGATGCTCCGTGTCTCTCAACACTGTCCCCCTTCTCGCTCAGTGTCTCTCGAGATCGTCCGCCTTCTTCCACGGGCAGTCAAGGTTCTTCTGCTCCTACACAGCAGCCCTCAGGTTGCTCCCCCCTGAAAAGCTTCATCCTTCCATGTCAGTCCCATCAGAGTCTCCCAAACGACAAGGGACTGCACATCTCCAGGCACCACCATCCTAACCCCTTAATATTTCTCGTGCCTGGGTGTGTAGCTATGGAGTGGGGTGGAGAGGCCGGAGGGAACGGCAGTCTTGAGTGAATATCACGTTTGACCACAGACTTGAATTGGTTGATTGTTTAGATTTGTTTTCCTTGGTTTTCTAAATATATATTTAAATTTTTAGTACATTTTATTTATTTATTTATCTATTGTGTACACAAGTGTGGGGGCTCACTTGGCATGCATATGGAGGTCATAGGAGTCTGTTCTCTCAGCTCACATGTGGTATCAAATTCAGGTCATCAGTATTAGGGCTGGGGCTTTCACCCTGAGCCGTTTCGCTGAATCTTTTCCTCTCTCTCTCTCGCTCTCTCTCTCTCTCTCTCTCTCTCTCTCTCTCTCTCTCTCTCTCTC